TCAGGCACAAAAATTTCCGAAAAATCACATGAACATTCCAGCGCCCACTATTCCCACAGGGAGAGGGGAAGAAAAGGAAAAACAACCCTCTCTCCCCATGGAAACTCCAGCGCCTATAGAGGTCTCAATTGCATGTAAAGGGGTCGCAAGAGCCAATGGGATTACTCCTCTTCCCCAAAAGGTAACCCCCTGATTGTTTACTGCCTCCACTAGAAGACGCCCCCTCGCCTCCCCGCCCCAGTTCAAAACAGCCCCCAGAATACCCCTCCTGCTCCCTCAGTCGCATACAGTACCCCCTAAAGTATGCCCCCGCAGAGCAGAAGATCCCCCTTCCTTCCTGCCCCACCCCCTCCAAGCAGAACAACCCTCTCAACTCTCACTCTGCTGACATCAGCACCCGTTGTCCTCTCTCCCCAACCGCCATAGCTGATCCGACCCGAAAATCAGTGTGGTCCAAAAAAGGACAAACCCTCACCCCTACCCTCTCAAAGATCCCGCCACTCACCTTGTGTAACCCTTGCACGAAGGGACTCCAACCCTAAAGGAGATATCCGTTCCAACACCTCTGACCCCGATCTCATAGAATCACAGGTTGAGACTCCCTTGCTAAAAACAACAAACTAAGACTAATTACCTGAGTAAAAACTGTTTGAAAAATCCTACGTCGAGTAAGAAACTCAATTTTAAAGAAGAATCCCGGATTTTCATCTACAAAAAAGGAATACGAATTTCAAAATTTGGGAAACTAAGTTTAAATTTTTGACGAATCATGCAAACGAAGTTTGAATCATGAATTTAAGTCGGGTCTCATTGTTTGTCTGTCCGCTTTTTGTAAAACATTCTCATGCTTGCCGGTGACAAGTAACTGACTAATGGCCCCCACAAGACACCCCCTATTCTCTCTCTCTCTCTCTCTCTCTCTCTCTCTCTCTCTCTCTCTCTCTCTCTCTCTCTCTCTCTCTCTCTAGGATAGTGGATATTTGGAGAGATACCCTTACTTAGAACCCGACGCAGGGTGATTTATCGTGAGATAGTGGATATTTGGAGAGAGTAGCATCGGGTATTCTAGGATAAATCTGGCAGTGGTCGCGGAGGAGCCAACCCGGACGGGATAGTCTCGGCCGAGGACTTTTGGTTCGGGAGTCGCATAGGGTATCGGATCTAACTAGGTTGGCAGAGGGGTAGGATCGTAACGAAGAAGTGAACCACTACTTTGATATGTTTCTTACCAATGGCCCCGCGGGGGGTAACTCGGGGGCTGGTGGTAGTGGTCAGAACTTTGGCAACGGACAGAGTTTTGGTAACAATGCAGGAAATATGGGTGGGGGAGGGGGACCTCGGGGCGGCGGTGGGGTCTGCTATAATTGCGGTAAGCCCGAGCAAATCGCCCGTGAATGTTGGTCCCGGAGAGGGAGGAGTTATGGCGGACAAAATGGCGATCCAGAATTAAACGAAATTAAAGAGCACTTCCGACAGATTAGAAAAGAAAGACAGGAGTTAAAGGAGAAACGGAGGCTGGAGGAAGAGAGGAAGAAGAGGGAGGAGGACGAACTTAGGAGAACCCAGGACTTCGCTCGGAAAGCCGAGGAATTCAAGCTGCAACTACGGGCGGAACTGATGGAAGAATGGAGGAAGAACAACGAGGAGGCGAAAAAGGTGGTAACAAAGATCAGATGCTCCGGGAAGAAGGTGAAGAAGGGGAGAACTATCATAAAGAAAACTAACATTATTTCCAGGAAGAACGGTCGGAATAGGAAGCAGATAGTGACTTCCTTGGAAGATTCAGATACCGACAACAAGTCAGGAGACGAGACAACTGCCACCGTTACGGCCTCGGATTCAGAGGTGGACGGGAGAATCGCACATAGGAACTACGTGGATAGAAAGAGCACCAAGCGGTACAAGAGGAAGGCGAGGAAGTTAAAGGCGAAGGGGAAAGTACACTCGGAGAGAACACCACCGAGGACATACGAAAGAGGTGAAAGCTCTAAACAACGGAAGGCGGAGAACGAGGAGACAACGGAACTAAGAAAATGGAAGCGGAACCTAGGACACCACTTACTGAAAGTTTTAAGGGGCTGGCGGCGGGATGTTCTCAGAAGGGGTTGATCGAATATTGTATTTCAACACACAAAATATACTCTGCTAAGAAGGCGGATGTGCTGAAGAAATTGTGTGAGAAAAAGGGAATAAAGTATACTAAGAAACCAAAGGCTGTTGAGCTTCTCGCCGGATACCAAGTGGAACTGGCATATGACGACTTTGAGGAAAAACATCACGAGGGGGGAACGATAGTTGCCGACAAGACCAAGGCTTCAGGATCGCCACAGAAGGTATTCACGAAGGAGCGGATCACCACGGAGAAGCCGGTGACGAAGAAGATACCGGTAATATTCCGCTCGGTACCAGTCCAACCCACCGAAGACTCTGAATGACGATTAACGGCTCCGACCAACGCTGAACTGTAGGACGTACTGTGCCGATGGCTTCAGCGGAGGATGGAGTTACAGGAGCCGAACATTACTGGAGATGCAAGTCGTAAAGTGGAATGTGTTATTACGACCACCACGCTGCTGCTTACGGTACAGAGGAAGATACCATGGTTAAGTAAGTACCTCTCTAAGATGCACGAATTAGGTAGCTTACTGAACCTAGACACTGGGGAGTGTATGCGGTGGTTAGCCCGTGGACGAAAAAAACGTACGTAGGTTGTACTGTGAGACCGATAATCCAGAGATGGAGGGAGCACTGTAGTATTGCACTGAGCAACGCACTGGGTCTAGCACCGCACCTGTACCGGTGGCTTAGAAAATTCGGGATTGACTGATACGTGGTGATTCCAATCTGACATGCAAGCACCACTGACGACTACGCTTTGAGAGATATTTGATTGCAGATTTTTGTCCTAGCCTAAATACTCGTGAACTGGGGAAGGCGTAGAAGTTGTCAAAAGGGAGACGTAAAAGGGGGAGAAGGGAGAGGACGGGAAGAGCGAAGGAGATGCCAACCGGTACGACTATTACGATCGAAAACTTAGGTCAGTCGTACACCTCAGTCCTATTATGGCTGACAGAGCACTTGGGTAAGGGTACGAGGGTTGTGAGGTTCTCTAGGGGTACTTGCTGGTCCGACGGATGGAGAAAGATCGTGCGTAGGTTCAGGGATTCCACTTTGGAAATCTTGGGGAAAACGGTACGACTTCGAGATGTGAAGACAGAACTGCAGCAAGGCGGTACGGTGAGGTTCCTGGAGATACGGAAGTCGAAGACTACAACTGAGCGGAACAAGGCCACTTTGGTAGCTTTGCTTAAGCGTCCGAAACCGGACTCCCAGTTGTTGACGCTTCCTACTAGGAAACTGATTGGACTATATAAGATTGTCGGACTGTTTACAGATAAGCAGACGAAGTACAGACTGCGCACCAAGCTCGACAGGGTGATCGGGAGGAAGACTGGGGTGAGTGTTAAGAAGAAGATAAACGTTAGACTGTCGTTTGACTCACAGATCCGGAAAGCGGGAGTAACATGTTATTCGTTAAAATAGGACATTATACTGTGTCCTCTTTCTAACGAATTCTTTTTTGGGTCAGGGTCAAGCAACGTAGGCACGCCCATCCAGGGCTTAAGCACATGCAGAAGTGTGCTAAGATCCGTACTTGTGGTGAAACTTTATAAATGATATCCCAAATGAGGAAGTGTGTTCAAACCCGTACATGTTAGGCACGCCGCACGGGAACCTTGTGCGGAAGTTTGTCGGGATCCTTACTTGCCGAACTTCAAAAACATGGCATTGCTGGGAATCCTGTGCAGAAGTGTGGTGGGATCCGCACTTGTCAAACTTCATAAACGAATAACGATAGGCACGCCCATCAGGCAAACCCTGTGCGGAAGTGTGCTGGGATCCTTACTTGTTGAACTTCAGAAATGTGCCGGTAATCTTGTGCCGAAGTGTGTCGGGATCCGTACTTGTTAAACTTCATAAACGAATAACGACAGGCACGCGCATCAGGAAACCCTGTGCGGAAGTGTGCTGGGATCCGTACTTGTTAAACTTCTATTCCATAATTATGACGAGCAATGTGTTATGATTGCATCCTCGTTGGATAATTATATTAGAAGACGTAGAGTAGCAACAGGCACGCTCATCCGGGATGCCTGTGCGATAGTGTGTCGGGAGCCACACTTGTCAAACTTCAAGTTTGTGAATGTGATGAGCAAGGTGTCATAATTGAATCCTTGTTGGATAATACTATTTATTTCCTTTATGCGTGAGTTGCACATGCATGGCAATTGTCTCGCCCGAGACGGTTGTCTGGATGTTGTAGAGATTCAAACTTCTTTAGAAGTACAAAAAGTTATTTTCGAGGTACAATTTATTTTTACCCGGTCACGAACGCAAAATTGTCGGTTACATGTAATTCAGGCGGTACATGATTGTCTATGCACACAAGAGACGTGATGTCACTGGTCTTTTACTCTTTGCATAACGAACCTCACACACACACACACACACTCATCGAGATTTGTCTTGCATCCACACTCCAATTCGTCATGTCACACCACACATACGAATATCATTTCGAGGTGAATTATATGCACATCTTTGGATGACCTGGACACAATTTGCAACGACGACTGCAATGCGATGAATGTAATGGCACGACAGACGAGCCAGACCTGACAGGGATTCCGAAGGCAACACGCGACGCCAGACTGGCAGTCAACATACCAAAGACAACTCAAACTCGCAACACCAAAAGAAAGTAATGTCGTTGTGAAAGCGACAGTCAAAATATGAAATATTCTGAAACAGAAGTTTGCAAATCAATCGAATCCATCAAAGACAACGACATTCTAAGATACATGATGCCAATTGTCGTCTAACATACGTAATATTTTTACAAGAGAACCTGAAAGGCGGTCGATCGCCACGTTGCAACAGTGTCGCAAACATCAACATAAACACCCCGCAACTAACTCCATCCACTTGTCTTGGAACTCCCTCTATAACAACATTTGTTGCTACCGACTTCAAGCGCCTGCACGACCGCCTATGTGATGTTTGACATTCCAAATAGTGTACGATCAACTCGAAAACACTAAGGTAAAAACTAGAACCGGCTACAACGCAAGGAAAAAAATCGAAAATCTCAAGAACATTATCTCTCAAGTTCACGGAAAGGAGGATCCAGTGATCATTATCTTTGAGGACCGGAACGAAGATAATATCATATTGAAGGAGATCCACGTTTTTAGCCTATCTTTCCACCCCGCCGTGTTCTTGAAGTTGCAGTTTACTGAAGAAGAAAGAATGAAAGTTGAAGACTTGAAGGCCTGACGAGATGTCACGTATCCCATATGCGGTCGTTCCCAATAGCGCCATGTAAAAGTTGACGACCTCATCATTCACCCTGCCGTCGGTAAGTGAGAGGGTTAGAATATTCTTCGCTGCAATGCGCAACTGACCATCGCCGAGGGTCGAGAGTACAGTGTCAGGTGGCACCAAGCCTCGTTCAATGTCGTCCAAAACCCGCAAGCTTCCAATCGCAGTCACTGCTGTTCCAGGTGTCGTGGTCCGCACTGCACAACATCGAGCAAAGGACAGGGGGGGAAGTGAGAAACGGAACTCTAAGGATTATCCTTCATCGCACGACGAGTAGCTAAGTATTTCTCATACATGGTCTGACCCCTAGTCACAGATCGTGGATATCTCCATTTCTCTGGGAGCAGAAGGGAAAGCCACTCCTCAATGGCAATGGCATGTTCCTTCTTCCCGATTTCGACATCAACCCCTGACGCCTTTAACATGCCCTTGTGTTTTGTTGTCAACCCGGGGACTGTCTGCAATATGTGTTCTGGATATTTAAAGGGTCTCCATGTTCAAGACGACCCTACATCTGTACAACAGACGAAAGACAAAACGGAAAATGAATACACGATTCCGAAGAAGAACCCCACGAAAGGATAATAAAAGAACCACGAAATCTAAAAGGCGTAGGACCTATGCAATTACAGAACCCCGTCATGCCATGAGAGTGCGAGAGAGAGAACTTTCGCATTAGCCACGCTGCAAAACAAAACGAGCAGTGCACTCGAGCTCGACACCCCCGCCCTTCAGAAGGGAAAATCACATCAAGTCACAGAAGCGGAAGCCAAACATCTCTGTAATCCGGATCCCGGCGGACGTTTCCGACCCAGGGAGATGACCCAACCCCTGGACAAACGAAGGAAGAGAAAACGGAAAATGAATATACGTAATCCAAGACGAATCCGACGAAAACGACAATTCAAGAACCACGAAATGTAGAAGACGCAGGACCTATCTAATTACAGAACCCCGTTTAGCCATGAGAGAGACAGAGAATACTTTCCCACAAGCCCCGCTGGGAAACAAAAGGAGCAGTGCGCTCGACCTCGACACCCCCGCCCTTCAGAAGGGAAAACCTCAACAAGCTACAAACGCGGAGGCCAAACATTTATGAAGTCAGGATCCCGACGGACTTTTCCCGATCGAGGCACAAAAAGAGTAACCGCATTATGCAGCGGCCTTGGGAGTGCGGATCCCGACGGACTAAAACCACCACTCATTCCGAAAAAGAAACAACATCCTTCCATCATGTGACGGGACGCTTCAACAAAAACACACATGTCCTTCACACAGTGACCTGGCCGACTCACAGGATGGTCGTTCACATGTACTTGGAAGTTTGAAGGAGTGGTGGCTGTAGCATGCCGACATCAGAAACTCCCCGCATCGACAGACACTCCGGTCACTGGCGCACAGACAGAGTGGCGTTTGTCACTGCTTACCAGCTGGTTTATCTCTCCGCTCCTTAATCGGCGAAGTTGGCGTGGGCAAGGCCAGCACGTCGAGAGCTCGAGTGCCGGCGGCAGTTTTTTTCGGGGATGTGACGTCTTGTTGTCCCCCCATCTCGCCTTCTCCTCCGCTGGCGATGGTCGGCGGCAGCATCGGAGAGTTCGTCGGCGACAAAGCCACGACAGATCCCCCGGAAGGTTTGACGTCGAGAGGGTCGTCGACACCAGGCATAGAGGACGGCTGCGCGGACATGTGGTGGTCGCCCAGGATGCCGTCGATAACTTGTTCGATGTGAATACGCACGCTCGGTTTATTCAGGCTGACTGCAACACTAGCGTCGTTGAACCGTTGTTGGAAATCGACGGCAGACGTCATTGCTTCGACCTCATAGTCATCACGTTCTGCCGAAAGGCTTGTGACCACCTGTGTCTCCATACCCAGTGCCGTGTCATCGTCGTCGTCGTCTTCCTCGCGATGTTCTCCGTACAGCTGCCCGAATCCGTCAGACGACTTTCCAGATCTGTCATCGTCGTCGCCGAACGTCCGTTCGTCGTCTCCAGTATCGAGTTCACCTTTTTCCCCGTCATTCCCTCCTAGCAACCCAGCCAACTCCGTTTCTTCCCCTTCCTCTCCTTCCTCCCCTTCATCCTCTTCTTCCTCCCCTTCATCCCCTCCTTCCTCCAATTCCTCCCCTGTATCTCCTTCCTCCCCTTCCTTCTCTTTGTCCATCACCCAACCTTCTTCCCGTGCATGCAATCCAGCCACTTGGCCCGAGCCCGTGTCAAATTCCGACAAATGCCCTTCCCACTCGCCGCACGCAGCCCCTCCCGCCGGCACGACAATCCCTGGTTGGCCCCCCTTGCCTGAAGAAGTTCGGATCCCGGCGAACTTCGCCGTCTCCCTGTCGCCGGGCCCTCCGCACGTACCCTCTCGCTCCGACCGAAGCGGTTGGCGGTCCCCCGCAGGCGGCGCTGTCCCGTCCCTCACCGCACAACTGTCCATTTTGGGATCACGACTCGCCACCCCCGCTCCTGACAAGCTCTGCGCGTCCGTCCTCTTCGTCCGCTATGCAAGCATTGAAGTTCGGATACCGGCGGACTTGAACGTTTCGACCGAGCCGGCACGGAGAGCAACCAAGGCCGCCATCACCGAGCCGGCGGATGAAGTGCGCACGTCCGCTGACTGTGCCGAGCTTGCCGGACCGGGACCGGTAGACTGCTGACGCCCGAAGGCCTCCCCCGCCACCCCGCTGCTGCCTTCCGCTGTCGTGGTGTCCCCTTGAGACCCCCCCTCCGAACCAGGCGGGACTCCTTTGCCGCCACCAGCCTCGTCGCCCTCGTTCTCCCCTTCGTCCGGTCCCCGGGACCTTGTACTTACACGCGTCCCACTGGGAGGGGGGATTTTCCAGTCCACCCTTCCCTTCGAGGGGCTCGTATCGAGGTCGTAGTAGTCCTCCGTCAGCTCCAACCAGCACTTGTCCTGAAGTTCGGCGAACAATCGCCCGACTGTGGAAATGACGGACACGTCTTCGGGTGCGAAAGAGTCATTCTCGGCCCTCACTTTCTGGAGGACCGCAATTCTAGCGACGTCGAGGAAGTCAGACTTCGACCCGCGAGGGAGGGGCACCCATCCTCCGTCCGGGACAGCGACGGCCACGATCCACTCACCCTTTTGAATCGCCGGCTGGATGACTCCTGGATGCCAAATCATGTCATGGCCCCAGTCTGCCTCCGTGGAACGACTTTGAGGCTCAGGCAGGAAGTGAATGTTGGCATCCTTCCAAAACAGATGATCGGCCGGGATGTCAGACCCGGGACGCAGTGAGCGATGGTCGGAGGCCAGAGCTTGCATTCTCTGCAGCAACTTCATCGCGGTAGTGCCAGGTGCCGCTTTCGCCATCGGTGACATGAGGGATGTCGTGCTTGTTGACAGACCTGCGAAGGACGACCCTGTTGTGTGCTGCCCGGGATGCGGGTCGTATTGCAGATCGAGGCTTTCGGTGTCGCTGCCCTCCTCGTTCGCGGTCGCGTCGAACTCGAGGTCGGTGGTCTCCTCGTCTTCCGTGGACATCAAGGAGGAGTAACTGCCGAACGTCAACTCCTCCTCCGACTCCACGAAGTACAGGGACTGCAACCTCTCGAGGAAGGTCTTTGCGTTCATGCGGGAGGCGCCGTGGTAGTTGTCGAGCAGCGTGAACATGTGATCCTTGCGGCGCACGTACTCGGCGTCAGTGTCTCTCTTGGGCCGCGTTTGCAGGAACAAGAAGTCGTATATCTTGTTCCGCTTCCTTGCACTCAACTTGAACCACATGTCCGTCTTGTTGTTCCACGCGCGAGGGCGAGACTCGTTGACGACCATGAACTCGCAAATGTGGGCACCCGAATTGACCTCGCTCTTGACAAGATCAATTGTAAATTGCAAGAGCTCAGAGTTCCCTTCCATTGCGATGACGTGCCGTCCTGCCTTCACCAGTTCCCACACGGATCGCGCGTGTGGCTTCCCGAGGAAGCATACACCCTCCCCCTTCTTGGTGACGGACTCGAGAAGATTAACGAATTGCGCGGGGTTGCGTTCCATGTCGCCGTACACACTGCCCCGACGCGTAGGCGAGACATGCGACCAATCGCAAGGGTTGAACGGGATGTCGGACACATCCGTTTGCGTAACCTTCTGCGGCAGCCGCACTGCAGCAGCGGCGGCAGGCGGCAGTTTCCCCTCGTAGACGACGGACGTGTTACCGCGCAAATCGTCGCCTTTGAAGAGTATGTACATCCGGTCGTCTTCCGTGTACAAATTATTCCCGACGGGGAAGCTTTTCTTCTGTTGACTCTTCCTCACCCACTTCCCTTCCAGCATCTTCACGAAAGAAAGGTGGTTCATGCTGGCCAGAAACGAGAGGTTCTGCTGCCGCTGGACGAAAACGACGAGCGTCCAATTCGACAGACACCACGTCTGAAGCTGGGAATCCAGAGTGTCGAACGCTTGCAGTTTCCACAGCTTCAGGTCCACCGGTTCGCAGAGATCGAGGACGAACATGTGACTCTTTGTGGCAACCAACGCCTCCTTCACCTCCCGCCTCCAAGGGGTCGTTGCCGAATGGCGCGATGGATGTCACGTTGCCCGTGTCTTTCCATTTTATGTGCACAATTCCTTCGGCAAGCGCGATCTCGCGACTCTTCAGTCTACTGTCAGTCAAAACGGACAGGACCTTATTCCTCCAGTCGACGGACAACTTCTTGTGACCGGCCAACTTCTCCGTCGCCTCGATGGATTGGTCGTCGTCGTAGCCCATGTAAGGTGGGCAGTCCTTGAACAACGAGGAGTAAGCGACGTATTTCCTGCTCCCATCCCACAACTCTGCATCCAAACCACGACTCTCAAACTATTTGAAAATTGCGGACCTTGTTTTCAAAAACGGGCACCTCTGGCTCCAATTCGCATCCGGCCTCTTCTCGTGCTTGAACTGGTAGTAGTTCCATAGACGCACCAGCACTCGGTCGCACTTCACCAAATGAACCATGTCCTGGACGCTCAGCTTCCCGAGCTTCGCCAACGCCGCAGAGCCCGCCTGGACCCAAACCACCTCGCAAGCGAAAACCTTCTTCAGGACGCGACACTTCTCGTTGTCGGTCAGCGACTTCATCGATTTCCAACAATGTGCATCTGGCTCAGGCACTTGTACGAACCAGTCCCCCTCTTCTTTCTCCTTTTTGCCTTTCTTTGTCGGCGGGTCCACAGGGATGTTGTACACGACCTCTTTCCTGTCCGTCTTGTCGTTCTCGACGTAGGTAACCCCGGGCCTCACATTTTTTACCTTCTTCTTCCGCATGATCCACTTTGCGCCATCGTGGCCGAGCAATCTACCGGTCTCCCATTTATCGAAAAAGTCGACTGCCGGTTTCCATACGTTCTCCCCTGCCATCGCCAGTGGGAAATAGGAACGCAGGGCAGCGCCTTGCTTCCTGATGGCGTCGTCGCCCTTCTGATCTGCCAGCGTCCACAAGTTGTTGTGCGGTGTCATATTGAGAACGACTTCACAGAATTCACGCCACTTTCGGACCTGAGCCTGTTTTCCGCTGGGGTTTCCCATAACAGCACGCGGGCACCCGTCGCGCTTCCACTGCCACCTAATGACTTTCATTGACAGCTTCAGCTGTCTCGGGGGCGCCTTCAGGTCCTTCTTGTTGTCCTGGGAACTGACAAGGAAGTACCCTTCGAAGTCGTCGTCCGAAAAGTAGAGCATTCGTGCAGGCCACCGCTCGAAATTGTATTTCCTAGCCACCTCGCTGTCTAGCAGCGACCTTGCTGCAGCCGCGTTGTGCTGCCCACACACCGCGTAGTAGTAGTATTGCCCCGCCAACTCATCCCTCCATTCGTCCGGCCTCAAACGTTCTGCCTTGGTCCCCGGAGTCGGTTTATCAAGCCCTGGCGGTGCCAGCTTCAGGGTAGGCAAATCGTAAGACTGCGCTTTGTTTTCGAACGCCAACCGCATCGCTTCTTTGATCCCTCCCACGAGCACGGGACCCAGGGACCGCTGGTTGCATAGGTCCTCCCACTCTCCGAGTTCGACGACCTGCGCAGGGCTAACCTCTAACTCCCTCTTTGTCCGAACGCCGTCTTTGTACTCGAGGAAGTACCCGACATCGACGTCGATTGGAGGCCTTTCCGTCGGTGGAGAAAGTGTTCTAGACGGAGGCTACTTCTTTCTCGAAGCCGGCCGTTTGGCAACCTGCCGGCCCTCCTCCCCCTCGGTCCCCTTTCGTTCCTCTCCCGCAGTCCTGGGGGCCTTGCTCTTCAGCTTCTTCAAAGAACCGACGAACTCGTCTGTGCGATCCCCCCTCCTCTTTTGCGGAGTGCCTTGCGTGCCCAGGCCGCCCACGGTCACCTCATCCACACTCTGGCCCTCGCTCGCCTCCAAGTCGACCTCCGAAGAGGCTGCCACCTTTCCTGTAGGTTCCGCACTCTCCCGTCGAACCGGATCTCCAATGTCGACCCCTGGAATAGACAACACCGATCGCCGCCTGTCCCTCAACGGCGCTGCAGGCCCCTCCTCCTCGCTGTCGTCGAACTGTTCCCGGCTCTCGCCGCGGTGCAGCTGAGTAGCCGGACCAGAACCCAGATCACCGCCCTCCGCCGCCGCCCCGCTTGACTCGCAACCGCCGCACGGTCGGAACGGCAACGAGAGCTCCAGGGAGGGGCCGACGTCGCAGGGGACGTCAAGAACGATGTTCTTGTCCTCCAGCTTGTCGAAAAACTCACGCGCCGAAACAAAACCACCCACGAGAACGAGTTCTCTGTAGAACTGGGTGTCCACAACACCCGCTCCGAACCCCTCACACAATTCGAGGTCCAACAACACCCCTTTCGAATTGGCAACGATGTTGCCTTTGGAGCCATAAACCTTTTCCATACGGAAATGTCATCGGCCCCCCTTCGCGTCCTCCCACCCCAAGACGGCCCCAAGCACTCGACGCCTTCTGCCGTCATCGACGAAGATGACAGACCACATAGCTGCGCAGTGGGGTTGGAAGCGTTTCCACAGCACCAATCGATGAACCATTTTGACTTCGAATGGTTCGACCACCCTTTCGTGGCAGTAGACGACCTCCTCGTGGAATTTTTTCCAGATGTCTTCCCGGAGGTCCCCGTTGCCTCCACCTCGCCCTTTGAAGAAGACATCCTGTCTGCGAACGACAACCCAAATCACACCATGCATGGCGGCTAATGCAGCCCAGTGCTTTGCGCATGTGGTTCAGGAACTTGTGTCCGAGGACAGCGTCAGACACCAGGATGAGGTTCCCGAATTCCAACATGTTGGCGAACTTGTACTGGCTTGCCGAAGGACAGCAACTCTCCATCGTGGCCCAATTCCGATCGCACCAGCCGTCAACATGCCCCTCCAGGCACGGGACGACGGTCATCCAGGGGTCCTCGTCGAAGTCCTCTGCGGTCGCTCCGTGGATCGTAGTTACACTGCTAAAATACCGCACGGATCGCGCGCAAGGAGGAAACGGTTCTGCCAAGCGAATGTGGATCTCGGGACTCATGGTCTGTGGTGTCGAGAAGATCGGCTCCACGATTCGTGGTGTCGAGAAGGTCGCCTCCATTACGCACCCTACACAACACGCGCACATGCCAAACAACACACACGGGCACGGAGACACTCGTAAACACGTCGTGTTTCACGATCTGCGACCCTTGGCATCAGACGGAACGCACGCTCGAAGATCCGATTTCGGGGGGTCGACCTGGTCGGTGTTCACATCTGCCGGCCGGCCGGACACCCGCAATCATGTCCCACGAGAGCTGGGCACCTCATATTCGTCGTGATCAGAATTTGGCGGGACTGCGCGGGAGAAACAAAACTGTATCTCAAACTCGGCGTCCCAAAAGTTCTTGAAGTTCGCATCCCGGCGGACTTCACATTTTTAAGAATCCGAAGTTGTGGCTATCCATCGGTCGTCAGAAAACCCCACAGTCGGAACCCACACCACCCGAAAATTGAAGTACGCCTGGGTCCGAACTTGACGACCACACGAGGAACCTTGCACGAGAAGTTCGGATCCCAGCGAACTTCGCATTCTCTCGAATCCGACGTTCGCCAGGATTCGAAATTGACGACTGTCCGAGGAACCGTGCACGGCAGTTTTAGATGCACGGCCCAACAGGCCGGCCACAAACACGAATTGCGAAAGGAGGAAATCTCAAGTTCGCCGGGATCCGAACTTGGCGAAATTGCGCTGGAGAGACACAGCTGGCGAACTCGACGATGGGATGAGGAACCGTGCGCGAGAAGTTCGGATCCCGGCGGACTTCGCATTTCTGCGAAACAAAAGTTGTGGCAAACCACCGGGCGCAAGAAAGCCCACAAACAGAACCCACACCATGCGGGAAGCGAAGTTCGTCGGGGTCCGAACTTGACGAGTGTACGAGGAACCGTTCACAAGAAATTCGGATCCTGATGGACTTTGCGTTTTTACGAATCCAAAGTCCGCATGGATACGAACTTGGCAAACGTGCGAGGAACCGGGCACGCGAGGTTTGGATCCACGGGAGGGCAAGCGAGCCGCAAAAATGTCTGGCGAAAGGCGGGAACCTGTTGTTCGCCGGGATCTTAGCGAGACCGCGGGGAGAGAAACAACCGGCGAACTCGGCGACTGAACGAGGAGCCGTGCGCGAGAAGTTCGGATCCCGGCGGACTTCACATTTTTCGAATCCGTAGTTGTGCCAATGCCTCGGGCGCTGGAAAGTCCGCAATCGGAACCCACACAATGCGGAAAGCGAAGTTCGCCAGGGTCCGAACTTGACGTCCGTGCGAGGAACCGTGAAGGACAAGTCCGGATCCCGACGGACTTCACATTTTCACGAATCCGAAGTTCACCGAGGTCCGGAGTTGACGATTGTGCAAGGAGCCGTGCAAGCGACGTTCGGATCCACAGGCCAGTGGGCGAGCCGCAAACATGTCTTGCGAAAGGCGGGAACCTGAAGTTCGCCGGGGTACGAACTTCGCGAAACTGCGTGGGGGCGGACTTCAAATTTTCACACGTCCGCGGCTTTGGTTGCGGTTCGGGGTTGCGAAGCGTGTTTGAACAGCTGCTCAGGCTCGCTGGAATCCGGACTTCTTCGGTGTTTGATTGCGCGATCAGTTCGGTTGGCACTGGCAAGTTTGTGCTGGCGGATTAGGACGGTCACGTTCCGATGACGAGGACTGTACCGACGATGGGTGGGGTGGTGGCTGCTCCACGTTCGCCGTTCAGTGACCGTCAAGTGTCGATGACCCGACGTCCTCCAAAGTTCGACGTCCGACGAGGTTCGACACCCGCCGAGGTTTGATGTGGAGCCGGGTTCGATGTTATACAACGTTCGATGTGCAACAAGATTGTGACGAAGTGCTTTTCTTCCGTTCGCAGATCGGGATCGACTTTCGATGTGCGACAACATTGTGACAAGGTTGTGTGATTTGTTCGCGGGTTTCAATCGTGCACACGATCATTTGCCTTGAGGATTCTCCGCAATCAATGTGCACGGAACACTCGATTGGTCATGAAATCTGCCAGTATCAGCTGATTGATCGGCTGCTCGGTTGGCGGTTGGTGTGGTGGTTGATCAATCGCCAATCAATGGATACAAGCAGAATACCTGACCAATCGACTGTTCAGTCCATGACTATCAGGTGGTTAGATAAACAGGTCGCTCGCCGATGGGTTGCATCTCGCACACGCAGACGCACAGAAACACGCGCACGCACATCGCCTTGCGAAACACAAAACAGGTTATGGTGCTCATACAACACACACACGCACACGCAAACACACACRCACGCATGCACATCGCCGCGTGTGTTTTGGTTTTGCCATTGAGACGATCRAAAYACACAATYGGCGACGTCTTCGGTGCAGCACACASGAGCAATCGTCCGATCGCAAGTAATATATTGCCTGGTCGGTTGGATGCGTTTGTGATCCAGACGTTGTCGCCTCGTGCATTGATTAATCATCCGTTAGGCAGATCAGGGGCGATGTTGTTGGGGCAGCTAACAACATCTATCACCCGATCGCGAGTGGTCGGCTTGTGTTTGGTGATGGGTCAGTTCATCACGTGTGTGGTGTGCGTATTGTCATGGATCAGATCGATCATCCGATCACGAGTGGTCTGAACACAGACGACAGAAAGAACAGCACACACGCGGTGATAACGTCGACACGGCGGACACGATCAATCATCCGATCACGAGTGATCTCATCGTGTTTCACGATTGGTCGATGGATTTGTTCGCTGTATCGACACTGCCACCGCGTGTTCCGATTGATCATCCATTGGGCAGATCAGCGGACGTGACATTGGGATTAATCAGGATCAGTCGAGTGTGGCAAGATGAGGTTGAACACAGCACGAGCGCAATCGTTTTTGATACTTTCCTCGAACATCCACACACAAGCGCCATTCGGGGAATCGAAGTGGAAATCATGTCTTTCATCCCTGACCTCGCAGGTTAGCGAGTATCTCCCCACGCTCAATGTGCACGAACACACACACACGCGAACAAATATGCACAGACAGGCACACACACACACACACACACA